AAAAGGCCCCGAAATGACAAATGTAATACAATTCAAACGAGAAAAACTAGCGGCCTATTTTATGTACAAAAATAAACGAAAAACAAATATGTAAATTAAAGACTTGGGACATACACATACATAAAGAATGTGGCGGGGTTAAACATGTTAGCGGGATCCTAACCCTCCCCTTAAGTTTGTAGGAATAGTTGCCCTGGGGAACAGTGGTTAAAAGAACTTGGGGTACAAAGTTTTAATAGGGCTTCAATGGGGAGGACGCTTGAAGAATCTCATTAAGAACCAACAATAGCAATGCAGTAATAATTTGCATCAAGCCTCAGTAGTTACTGTACATTCAGATTCAAGTGTGTACAAATGAAGGTACAGAGATCCGTGGGTCTGATCACTATGAGTCCAAAGTTTAACATAGTCTTTATTGGGAAAAGCTTAAAATTCATGTTATTCAGAACCTGCAATGGAAATGCAGGACTTCATAATTTACACAAATCTGTACATGCCAAACATAATTAGAGGCTCCAAGGAACTTGAATTGCTCCCCTATTCAACTGGGTCTCATTTGACTTGATTATAAATAAAGTTCTAGTATGTGAAGGTCTGAGGTGCAAGTGAATAACTTTAATTAAGCTTGATTGCATATAGTGTTCATTATTCTAAAAAAAAAAAAGATGAATTTGTTTCCGCTACAAACTTTGTCTTTACTGACAACCATTTTGAAATGCCTATCGCATCAAAAAGTGAAAAGTTAAACTATAAGGTTGCCGTTATTATCACATAGCGGTCAGGAGTCTGTTATTCAGTGGTTGTCATTTGTTGCTGTGTTACATATTCGTTTTTTTGTCTTTGTTTTTACATTATTAAAACCGTTATTTTCACTCGTTTGAATTAAATTATTAAACAGCTGTCATGTCGGGGACTCTCCCTCTGGTATCTTTCGTCCCTCTTTTATAGCTGACTATGCGGGGGCTTTTCTCATTATTGAGGGCATTATGATGACCTATAATGTTAATTTCTGTGTCATTAAGTCTCTTGGCAATCATAATACATATTCTTATACATATATATATATGTAGCGATGTCGTTATTACGACATAGTGATGTCGTAATAACGACATGTTATGTCGAAATTACGACAAAGCGATGTCGTTATAACGACATGTTATGTCGAAATTACGACATAGCGATGTCGTTATAACGACATGTTATGTCGAAATTACGACATGCTATGTCGTAATTACGACATAGCATGTCGTAATTTCGACATAACATCGCTATATCGTAATTTCGACATAACATGTCGTTATAACGACATCGCTATGTCGTAATTTCGACATAACATGTCGTTATTACGACATCACTATGTCGTAATAACGACATAGCTATGTCGTACTAACGACATCGCTATATATATATAAAAGAATATGTATTATGATTGCCAAGAGACTTAATGACACAGAAATTAACAACTATAGGTCATCATAATGGCCTCAATAATGAGAAAAGCCCCCGCATAGTCAGCTATAAAAGAGGGACGAAAGATACCAGAGGGAGAGTCCCCGACATGACAGCTGTTTAATAATTTAATTCAAACGAATGAAAATAACGGTTTTAATAATGTACAAACAAAGACCGAAAAACGAATATGTAACACAGCAAACAAATGACAACCACTGAATTACAGACTCCTGACCGCTATGTGATAATAACGGCAACCTTATAGTTTAACTTTTCACTTTTTGATGCGATAGGCATTTCAAAATGGTTGTCAGTAAAGGCAAAGTTTGTAGCGGAAACAAATTCATCTTTTTTTTTTTAGAATAATGAACACTATATTCAATCAAGCTTAATTAAAGTTATTCACTTGCACCTCAGACTTGCACATACTAGAACTTTATTTATAATCAAGTCAAATGAGACCCAGTTGAATAGGGGAGCAATTCAAGCTCCTTGGAGCCTCTTATTATGTTTGGCATGTACAGATTTGTGTAAATTATGAAGTCCTGCATTTCCATTGCAGGTTCTGAATAACATGAATTTTAAGCTTTTCCCAATAAAGACTATGTTAAACTTTGGACTCATAGTGCTCAGACCCACGGATCTCTGTACCTTCATTTGTACACACTTGAATCTTAATGTACAGTAACTACTGAGGCTTGATGCAAATTATTACTGCATTGCTATTGTTGGTTCTTAATGAGATTCTTCAAGCGTCCTCCCCATTGAAGCCCTATTAAAACTTTGTACCCCAAGTTCTTTTAACCACTGTTCCCCAGGGCAACTATTCCTACAAACTTAAGGGGAGGGTTAGGATTCCGCTAACATGTTTAACCCCGCCACATTCTTTATGTATGTGTATGTCCCAAGTCTTTAATTTACGTATTTGTTTTTCGTTTATTTTTGTACATAAAATAGGCCGCTAGTTTTTCTCGTTTGAATTGTATTACATTTGTCATTTCGGGGCCTTTTATGGCTGACTATGCGGTATGGGCTGTGATCATTGTTGAAGGCCGTACGGTGACTTTAATTGTAAATTTCTGTGTCATTTGGTTTCTTGTTGAGAGTTGCGTTTTTGAACAAACCAGCGTATCCCAAGGCCTTGATAACCTCTGTAGGCCCCAAATAAGACGAAAAAAAACATCAAAATTGGAGAGAAAACTGAAAAAAATTGTTTCTAACCTCAGGGATATTAACCCTTGGCTATCTTAGATTTAATGCAATCAGTATGCATCAGCATCAGGGTACAGCTCATTTGCATATCATTTGCATATTTTTACAAATACTCGAAATTTAGACAATTTCTGATAACAATTCAGCATGCCAAGGGTTAATATCCCTGAGGTTAGAAACCATTTATTTTCTGTTTTCTCTCCAATTTTGATGTTTTTTCGTCTTATTTGGGGCCTACAGAGGTTATCAAGGCTTTGGGATACGCTGGTTTGTTCAAAAACGCAACTCTCAACAAGAAACCAAATGACACAGAAATTAACAATTATAGGTCACCGTACGGCCTTCAACAATGATCACAGCCCATACCGCATAGTCAGCTATAAAAGGCCCCGAAATGACAAATGTAATACAATTCAAACGAGAAAAACTAGCGGCCTATTCTATGTACAAAAATAAACGAAAAACAAATATGTAAATTAAAGACTTGGGACAGACACATACATAAAGAATGTGGCGGGGTTAAACATGTTAGCGGGATCCCAAACCTACCTCTAAGTTTGTAGGAATAGTTGTCCTGGGGAACAGTGGTTAAAAGAACTTGGGGTACAAAGTTTTAATAGGGCTTCAATGGGGAGGACGCTTGAAGAATCTCATTAAGAACCAACAATAGCAATACAGTTATAATTTGCTTCAAGCCTCAGTAGTTCATTAAGATTCAAGTGTGTACAAATGAAGGTACAGAGATCCGTGGGTCTGATCACTATGAGTCCAAAGTTTAACATAGTCTTTATTGGGAAAAGCTTAAAATTCATCTTATTCAGAACCTGCAATGCCAAACATAATTAGAGGATCCAGGGAGCTTGAATTGCTCCCCTATTCAACTAGGTCTCATTTGACTTGATTATAAATAAAGTTCTAGTATGTGCAAGTCTGAGGTGCTAGTGAATAACTTTAATTAAGCTTGATTGCATAAAGTGTTCAATATTCGAAAAAAAAAAAGATGAATTTGTTTACGATACAAACTTCGCCTTTACTGGCGACCATTTTGAAATTCCTATCGCTTCAAAAAGTGAAAAGTTAAACTATAAGGTTGTCGTTATTATCAGATAGCGGTCAGGAGTCTGTAATTCAGTGGTTGTCATTTGTTGCTGTGTTACATATTCGTGTTTCGGTCTTTGTTTGTACATTATTAAAACCGTTATTTTCACTCGTTTGAATTAAATTGTTAAACAGCTGTCATTTCGGGGACTCTCCCTCTGGTATCTTTCGTCCCTCTTTTATAGCTGACTATGCGGGGGCTTTTCTCATTATTGAGGGCATTATGATGACCTATAGTTGCTTATTTCTGTGTCATTTAGTCTCTTGGCAATCATAATACATATTCTTTTATATATATAGCGATGTCGTTTTTACGACATAGCTATGTCGTAATTACGACATAGCTATAGTGATGTCGTAATTACGACTTGTTATGTCGAAATTACGACATATCGATGTCGTTATAACGACATAGCGATGTCGTTATAACGACATGTTATGTCGAAATTACGACATAGCGATGTCGTTTAAACATGTTATGTCGAAATTACGACATAGTGATGTCGTTATTACGACATGTTATGTCGTAATTACGACATGTTATGTCGTAATTACGACATAAAATTTTTTTTTTGAATGGCCCTTATCGGCTTCCGTAGTTTATAGCCCCTTCTGTATGTCTGTGTATCACAAAATTTTCAAGGTGCAATAATATCAAAACCGCGAAATATTGAATACAAGAGACGTGCCATTTTGATAAGATACCGAAAAGAAATGTCGATTGCAGCAATAATATTTATTGTTTCATTGCATTTAATAGAAAATGTGGATTTTGTGGCAAATCAAGCCAAGATTTTAACAGAAAATCTACAGACTTTATTACAGATATTTTCGTTAAAGCATTTCAAAAATAGATTACTCACTTGTATGTCCATGTTGTACTAGCGTTTATTATTTGCAAAAAGTTTTAAACAACCTTTACAATTAAAAAAAAGTCGTGCTGAGTGACTAAAGTCGAACGCACCATAGAAGGTGTGCTTGAATAGGTCGATATTTTTTACTTGTTTTTAACTAATATCTTTATTTAAAAACTTGTTTTGGGGAAATAATTGCTAGCACAGAACGCAGTAATCTCCCATCTATTAACTACCCAAATGTCAAATATAAGAGTACAAGGGGAAAGGCTCTGTATGTTCTATGAAATTACAATATGTTTAGCATTGAAACAACAAAAAGGGACATAATCCTAATATGGACTGTACAATTCGAGTTCATCTTTTTCAAGCCGACCTGGGTAGTCAAGGTCGTTAAACACAGATACCCAGTTGCTGACCTGATTTTTACATTGTACACGAGAAGTCGATTTTGTCTATTGTAAGTCAAAAAACAACATTTAAGTATCTAATCTCGTTTAAAAGAAACGCTAATACGAAAGCATAGATTTTCACAGGGGCGTTTCCAGGATATTTGAAAGAGGGGGCGTAGAATACAATTTGTTGCCGAGCGGAGCGAGGCGAAAATGTTTTTGGACCTTTTTTTGGCTAAAAAAACATAAAATAATTGTGAAATGCACTAATGTAACAGTTCCTGACTTGGAGCATGTATATTTTATAGTTAAAGTTTCAGGGTTTGATATTTTTTATGCCGAATTCTCTCCATTAGTTGTCTATGGTATATTAAAATGATTGGATGGATCTTAACAGCAGTAGACCAATAACGAGAATTTCCAAATTTTAGGGTCTAGGGCGTTACTTTACATTTCAATAGTCCTAGGCCAGGATTTTATGAACAGGAGGCGTAATTCCGGTTGCCCTGGTATAGGGTCCATGAGAAAGATCAGAAGCTCCTGGATTTCAACAATTTAGCATCAAATTATGAAGTATCATAACAGAATCCATGATAGACAAATTGGTGAAAATAGTCTGACTAAAAGGTTATATGAAATGGGCATGAAAAATGAAAAATAAATCTTTAACGATAGCTTTTTCTGAACTTTTGATATATATATATATATACCTGTTTTGTTAAAATATACCTTTTCACTGTTTTGGTCTTTTGGAAAATGTTGTTTGTGCTGTATTTAGACCCCTTTACCAAGAAATTTGTTTTGCATGCACACGTATAAAACTTGCGGTTTTTATCCAGCGCAATCATAGGTTTGAACGTTGTTTTCAATTTAGTAGATATAAAAAGATGTGGTATGAGTGCCAATGAGACAACTCTCCATCCAAGTCACAATCTATAAAAGTAAACCATTATAGATCAAAGCACGGTCTTCAACACGGAGCCTTGGCTCACACCGAACAGCAAGCTATAAAGGGCCCTAAAAATTACTAGTGTAAAACCATTCAAACGGGAAAACCAACGGTCTAATCTATATAAGAAACGAGAAACACTTATGAACCACATCAACAAACTACAACTTCTGAAAATCAGATTCCTGACTCAGGACAGGTGCAAACAGTTGCAGCGGGTTTAAACGTTTTAATGGTACCAAACATTCACCCTTATCTGAAACAATAGTGTAACATCGTATTCATAATACCCCGTTCTAGATAGTCAAATCTGACCCCTTCCAATGCAAGGCGAAAAAAACATAACCCCATTTCAAACAATTTAGCTGAAAATGCAACCCCGTTTGTCGGAACATACCCGGTATTATATATATAACGAGTATCCCCCGGGTAGATGTTGAATGGCCATTGGGGACGTGTCACACAATTCAACCATTTCATGTATAGATTTACTTACCGCTTTGGTTGTTTAAAAAAATCCAAGTCACCCATCGGATGGGGGAATCAGTATAAAAAGAAATCAGAGTATGTGTTTAATAAATGAATATGATAAATTGCCATATTCAATACAATATAAGCAGATAACGCTAGTTTTTTTGTTTTTTTTGAAAAGGGAGGGGGGGGGGGGTACGCCCATTACGCCCTTACCTGGACCCGCCCCTGTTTCATGTTAGGTGGCAATGTAGAATTTTATATAGGGTATAGTATAGTTTCTGTTATTACTAATCAGTTGCTAAAATACAGTTACAAGGGCGTTTCTATGATATTTTAAAGAGGTGGCGTATAATCAAATCTTTCCCCCAGCGTAGCGAGGCGAAAAATATTTTGGACCTTTTTTTTTGCTAAAAAACATAAAATAATTGTGATATGCACTAATGTAACGGTTCCTGACTTGGAGCATGTATATTTTATAGTTAAAGTGTCAAGGTTTGACACTTTTTATGCCGAATTCTCTCCATTAATTTGTCTATGGTATATTAAAATGATTGGATGGATCTTAACAGCAGTAAACCAATAACGAGAAATTCCAAATTCTAGGGTATAAGGCGTTACTCAACATTTCAATAGTCCTAGGCCAGGATTTTATGAACGGAAGGCGTAATTACGGTTGCCCCGGTAGAGGGTCCATGAGGAAGCTCAGAAGCTCCTGGATTTCAACAATTTAGCATCAAATTATGAAGTAGCCAGACTGATAAATATCTCTCTATTTTAGATTAAGTTCTGGTTTCGTTGAACGACACACAGGAAACATTGATAAATTGCCATATTCCATATTCAATACAATATTAGCAGATTACGATAGTTTTTTTGTTTTGTTTTTTTTTTTAAAGGGGGGGGGGGGGCGTACGCCCATTACGCTCTCACCTGGACCCGCCCCTGAGTTATGTTCTAATTCATAAATTCAAGCGAACATAAATTATTTACAAAATAAACTCAACACCTTTGTATGGGATCAGCTCGCCTGAAAGTGTGCACCAAAGTTTTAATTTTATTAAAGACAAATGCAAATGAAAGTTCATCTGTTACTGTCTGACTAGGCCGCTACAGGTAACAAATACAAAAACCAATCTACAAGAATAAAAACAATTTTCATTATGTATGCAAATACAAATTATGAATCAAACTAAAGATTCTATTCTTACACACTTTATTATTCAAATAAATCAAAAATAACACCAGAAAAATACATTTTGTCGGGTGGGAGGTTGGGAAACTTGGGTTGCACCAAAAGCGGTAACTGAGTGGACAGTATGAAATGAAATTCGAGTGTTTGTTTATTTTGCCATCTTCTGCAGACTGGAAAAAAATGCACATCAAAATCCAGGTAAGTTTTTAATTTTCTGTAACATAAACTACATACAAATTTTATATATCTAGGTTCAGCCATGCCTTAAAACTTTCCTAGATCAATCGGTTTGTCTGTACTCAGAGTAGATTTTGTGCTGTAAACACGGCCATATTTTTCAATTCCTTTGATTGAGCCTTGAATCTGTATTAACCACAATTTTTATTCAGAAGGGGTTTTCATGTTGATAACTTTGATATTGAATGAAGAATGGACTTCCTGGCACTCGTTATAAATGATGTTAACATGAGTATTTGTGATACATAATTGATATTTTTGCTTGGATAAGTAAGTATCAAAACATCCCAATTGCATGCAATATATGAAATACTTCACCCTCTATCATGAGTCAAGTCACTATATATTGCAATGTTAGTTTTCTGGTTATATATGTTTAAAACTGATTGATTGGTGACAGCTGAGTGTGCAGCGGCAAATGTTACAGGCCTATCAAGACGATAACATGTTAATGGGATATAAATAAATTCAAATTCTTTTTTAACCTTATCACAATGCCTAAATACGGCCATATAAACCATAACAAATACAGATAAACAATGTAACCACTTTCATTTGAATCCTTTCACACAACTATTTTACTGATTGGAATTGATTGATTACAACACCATCATAAAGTATGATAAACATAATCAAATAGAGAGACGATTCAGTCTGTCAACTTGTATTTGTTCCGCATACTGACAGAAGTTCCCCTGGATTCTTTGTTATAAACAATGCCATAATATCTGTTCCTGTTGGAACAAATAATGTATACCCCTTTATTCAGTAAGGAACAAATTCTGTAATATTTGTTCAAGTGGAAAATATATTACAGAATATTTCTTACATTTGGAACTTATATTATGAAGGAACTTCTTAGTCTCGATCATCCAGACGCTCAATATGCATGACGAGACTAGGAACTTCTAGAACCTGTCCAATACAAAGAGGGATAACTCTAATATTTCTTATATGTATATGTTGTGTACAAGATGCAAGTTTGTACAAATTATAATTTTTACAGGGTTTTTGTACAAGTTATAAGATTTTGACACATACCTTTTTGCACCAGGTGATAAAAGTTTATCTTCTTAAATTTATCAGCTTAATGTCTTAAATTCAAATTTATATACTTCAACCTAACATTTAGTGCTATTCTCCTTGTCCTAAAATCGGTATTTAGACTTGGTTGTATATATATATATATATATATACACACGAGTCTAAATTGGAAACAACGTTCAAACCTATGATTGCGTTGGATAAAAACCGCAATTTTTATACGTGTGCATGTAAAACAAATTTCTTGGTAGAGGGGTCTAAATACAGCACAAACAACATTTTCAAAAAGACCAAAAAAGTGAAAAGTATATTTTAACAAAACGCATTTGACTAACAGGTCGAACAACTGATGTTCTTAAACCCTGCTGACTGCCATTGACGATTGCCAAATAAATTGATCACCAGATGTAAAATGGATCTTATAATTAATTTAATACCAAACAGAAAACAATAAACTTGCGGAAAAGATGGTATACCGCAAACATGAGGTGCAAAAATTTGTACACCATATCAGAATATTGATTTCAAACATAAAGGCGGCCAGATTATTTATGTTCACTCAGTACAATATGTATATAATATTACAATCGAAAAGAGGGATGTTATTATCCAAAATGTTAAAAGTTCTGGCGAGTGTAGCCAGTAATTTTTTTTTTTTCTTTTTTCTAAGATTTCATATTAAAACAAAATTATATTTATACAGGTCAAAAGGAGGGGGGACGTTCACTGCGTATCCCTCAAAACAATCACTGACAATACTTATTTGCGGATTTTCTGTTAATATTGGATACCTTTGTAAATAATAACAAAAATGTATTTGGGGCAAGAATATTTATTTTCATGTGTGATAAGACAGTACATGGCAAAATTCGTATTGCATGCTGTATCACCACTGTGGTATTTTTTGTCATTCATTTTGCAACGCAGTAATGTGTTATTCTAATGTGGCTCGGCCCTTTAACAGTGCGCATATTTTAACGCATGTTACTAACGCCTTGGAAACGGTCGCTTTGAGGGGTTTTCTCAAAAATAGTTTTGACGACATTGGAACGCGGGCGTGTATGAAAGCACCCTTTCTCGATGTAAACAAACCATGCATGCAAAACGTTCTTCAAAAGCCACAAAACAGGAAATACGTACGGTTAGGACTACAGAGTGGTTTGTTCATTTTT